AAAAGAAAATATATCTGACAAGAGTTCTTGAAATGCAATTTGTAAGTACATATTTAATTACAATAAAAAAAATCACACAATTAAAATGCAACTTTTAAAGAAAGTTGACAGTTGATATTGGAAATTTTGAAAATAAAAAAACAAAAGAGCTAGGTGTGGTGGTGCACACCTGTAATCCCACTGACTCAGGAGGCTGAGGCAGGAGGATATCTGAGTTCAAAGCCAGCCTCAGCAAAAAGCGAGGTGTGCTAAGCAATTCAGTCAGACCCTGTCTCTAATTAAAATACAAAATAGGGCTAGGGATGTGGCTCAGTGGTAGAGTGCCCCTGAATTCAAACCCCAGTGGCCTCCCACCAAAAAAAAACACTATACAAAATCTAAAAAAAATCAGTAACAAGATGAGAAATACAACTATGCCATGTAACAAAGGAGATAGTCCTAATAAAGAAACAGGACCAATAACCCAAAATTAAAAAATGAGCCACCAGGCACAGTGGCATATACCTGCAAACCCATGCACTTGGGGGGCTCATGCAGAAAGATCTCAAGTTGAAGGCAAGTCTGGGCAAYTGTGTGAGACCCTATCTCAAAAWAAAAAGGACTGGGGATATAGATAAGTGGTAGAGCAGTTGCCTGGTAACTGTGAGACCCTGGGATGGATCATCAGCACCAAAAAAAAGAAAAAAGAGAAAGGATGAGGGTAGAYAAAACAAAATAAAATTAAAATAAGATGATTTACAGATTGCCACATTTGGAAAGATTTTTTTCAAGTTATTTCTTGTTGCGAGTAGTTTCTAAGCAGCAAAACCAAGAACACTTCTACTTCCACTGTTCTGCCTAAAGCAGTCCTTCAAATCTCTCTGTGGCCTTCATTTTACTATTTACTTGGGGCAAAGGCCTGTAATCCCAATTACTCAGGAGGCTGAGGCAGAATGATAGCATATTCAAGGCCAGCCTAAACAACTTAGTGAGACCCAGTTTCAAAATAAGAATGGCTTGAATTGTAGCTCAATGGTACCACAAAACAAACAAACAAAACAAAACAAACAAAACAAACAAAACAAAAGTCTTAGTAAGAATATACATATTCAGCTGTGCAAGTGGCACATCCATAGTTTCATCTACCCTCAAGAGGCTAAGGCAAGAGAATCACTTGAGCCCCAGGAATTCAAAACCAACCTGGGGAACATAGTGACTCCTGTCTCAGAACAAAAAAAGTATACAGGTTTATTAACAGGAACCAAAATAAATACTAGTATAACCATTTAATGGAATGCTACCCAAGATTATTTCCTATGTCTCTTTTTTTAAAACTTAGAAAAAAGGTGGATTTAGGGGGGAAAAGGTGGATTTAGGGGCTGGGGTTGTAGCTCAGTGGTAGAACACTTGCCTAGCATGTGTGAGGCACTGGATTTGATCCTCAGCACCACATAAAAATAAATAAAAAAAATAAAGAAGTACTGTGTCCATCTACAACTAAAAAAATTTTTTAGAAATATGGACTTTAGGGGCTGGGGATGTGGCTCAAGCGGTAGCGCGCGCTCTTCTGGCATGGGTGTGGCCCAGGTTCGATCCTCAGCACCACATACAAAGATGCTGTGTCTGCCGAAAACTAAAATGTAAATAAAATATTTTTTAAAAAATATATGGACTTTAGTATAATATAGTAAGGCTGAAGTATTTGGAACTACTACAGAATCAATTTTCAAGGTGCATTGTTAAATATAAAGAGTATCCAATACTATTTAATTTTTAAAATAATTTCAAGTGTATTGGTTCTACTTCCTATTAGACAAAAGTATTAAGAATTTTTAAACACTTTTTTCTTCTAAGTTTTCAATATAACAGTTTATATCTTTGGAAAATTAAGAAGTAAAACCACCATCTCCCTCCCAAATCCACACATCCAGTGCTCAAACGAACAAAAGATCTTCTCCTGCTCAAATAATTTTAATACTAAATTTATACTAAACCTGTAACATTATTTTATTTCAAAGAAAGTGAAAAATCACTGTTCAAACTAACTTCCTAAGCAATAAAATTACAAGGTAGGAAATCCATTCTGAAATTATGTTCCATCAAAAAATTTCAAAAGCATTTATAAACTGTTAAATCATAAAAGCTTATGATGATTAGATAAAGGCCTTATAGCAATTAGTACACATATTGAAAACTGAAAGCTCAAAGGGAGATAGAACATTAGGCTCTTTCAGAGATATTAAACAATGGGTCAAGAAAGAGTGACTACACATCCAGATATCCCAAGGTGTCTTATTCAAAAACTTCTTTTCACTCAGCCTCTACCTTATTTACTCTCAGCCACATCAAAAGGAATTGTCATCTGGAGATATCAAGGTTAATAACCAGGGCTATAGAACATACAAGAACTGGGTTCAAATCCTAGTTTTACAATTTTCTAGAGGTATAATCTAACAAGCTTCATTTTCCTTACCTATAAAATAAAATGAAGATTATCACCAACAAGTTAATATTAGTAAGTAAAAACTCTGTAGAAGTGAAATGAAGAAGGAATTGATCAAGTAAAACAATTCCCAAAATTCAAACCTTTCAAGGCAGTGAAAGAACCCAAAGGAAATGCCCTAAAGAGCACTGGACTGAAAGGCAGGAGCCCACACTCAACTGCAACCAGCTCCATGACCCCCAGGCATATCATCTCAATAATGTGGGTTCTAGTTTTTAAGATCTAAGAAATCAATGGACTGAAATCCTTTCCACCTATACCCTACCATGACTAAATTACTAGGGATGCTAGTTACTGTTATATACTTGCAAAAGCTTCTAAAATTTTACAAATGAATGCTTGGTTTTTGTAACCTATAGGACCTGACCAGTTTTCATTGTGACTTAGCCACCAATCATAACAGTATATAAGACTGTTTCCTTAACAAACTTGTCCAAGGTCAGATTGCTAAAAAGTAGCAAAATCAGAATTCAAAACCAGATCTTCTCCCATCCAAGTCCAAACTCCATGGCATGTTTCTTCCTCAGAACTTTTTCCTGACTAATCTGTAAGTATTTGCAAAACAACTAAAGTTATCAGGAATGTAGTCAGGAGTCACTGAATAGAGTCAAGTTACCTGAGTCAGGTGGGGCTTGAACTTCTGACACAATAATCTAACAAACTTTAATTAGAAATTTCAGCTACTTAAAAGAAGGCTGGAGAAACAAGAAGGGAAAGAGAGGTAAAACTATAAAGAAAAACTTACTAATAGAAGGCAAAAATAAAGCATTTTTGAGAGATAAGTAAATGGGGGCAATTCTTATAGTTTCAGAAGTCAAAGTTGTATAAAACACAATATTCAGTAAAATAACTACTGGATTATCTATAATTCATATCTGCAAAAGAGTCCCAGTATGGAAATAATTAAGAACAGAAATAACTCTAGGTTACCCATAACAGTGAAGAGTAACATCATACAAACTAGGCTTTACAAATAAAGCACATGGTTGATACAGATAATCCAAAGTAACAAATATCTGATGTTTTTATAAAGTTGTATGGTCAACAATATACACTCACCTCCCAAATTACAGTATAATTCAGACTAATTATCAAGTTAAATTCTCAATAGCATGAGTGTTAAAGAGAGAAGGCCTGAGAGATAAGTATTTCTTTAAAAAAAAAAAAGTGAATGATAATCTCCACCTCCTTACACCAGTAAAAACTAACATTTTATAACATTCTTATCAGTTTCACATGGAATAACAAAACTAAGGAACAGAAAAAAAGTATAACACTTAAATTTCTCCTACATTCTAGAAGTAGGTTAGCTCCTTGCTTTTTCCATCAGTCAATCTGGGATTAAAAACTGGTTTTGAATTTCATGTAGATAGTCAAAAGGTAAACAAACACATTCACATATGCCTTGGTCACCAAGTACTTACAAAAGAAAAAATTTCATAAGACAGATAATACAAATGGAGCAAGAAGTGAGGTCACCTACTATTTTAGCTCTATTGAAAGAGAGAAGTAATTATGCGCTCTCCCCAAACGTTAGCATCAAAAAAAAAGAAAGAAAAAAAAAAGAAATCAAACAAATGGAAATGGTGCAGAAAATAACACATCTATATTTAAGACCTAGAAATTTTTCTCTGCATACGATTGTCTAAGCTGACTTCCAAAAGCCTTTGCTWTTAAACATTAATACAAGATAAAAGTTCTTAAAAGACTAAGCCTCACTTGCCATCCACTGGGAGCATTTATACCAGGCTGTGACCAACTTTTGTGTTCCCCACAATAGGTCTAATCCACTGTTACGCATCCTGCAAATGAAACTGGACCCGTGGCACTGAAATACACCCGAACCAGAATCACCAACGATGTTAGGTGAAGAACTCTCCCGGCACTACTGTGATTAACTCCAAAAGGACTTCACGAGGACTCAGGTTTAGGAAAAGAGGTAACACACCGACTGAGTGATCCGCCCGCAAACTGTAAAGAAGGCGATGCGCCTTGCAGGCTCAGAAAGTTGACTAACCAGGGGCACGCTCCATGCCCTCCTTTAGGAAAGGGAGAGTGTGGTTGGCAGAACCAAAAGTAAATACGGAAAATCCATTCAAGAATTTCCTGATGGCCTACCGTGCGGACGTAGGAAGCAAGTTAGAYGCTGAGAAGTAAAGGAAAGAGACAGAGTTCACCGACAGACTGATAATGATCTACCAGCTCCAGGAGGGGGCCCCAAACTTGGGGAGCTTCTGACTCCTCCGTGGATTTGGGGAGGAGAGGTTCCGAGCGGACTCTGGTCCTCCTGCAGCAGCCCTTCCAGCATGCCTGGGGCAGCTAAGGCTCAGGCCTGGCGTTCCGCAACAGAAGCTCCCTTCCACATGGTTGCCGGAGAGCGACCCGCCAAGCAGCCCTGAGGCCATGCGGTTGGGGGCCGCGGAGTGCTTAAACCCGGTGCACGTTCAAGACACGAAACTAGAGCAGAGGAGGTGAGCGAGGAAATCCAAAGAACGGGGCGTTGGGGTACAAGACTCACTTCCTTTGGGCTTTGTCCTTCTTGGCCTTGGTCCTTTTCTTTCGGGCCTGGAGCGCAAGCACTGCAGGAGAGAGGGATGGGTGAAGGGCGAATGTGGAGAAAAAGAGGCGACCAAGGTGAGGGTGGAGACCTAGCAGGGGCGCCAGGCACGGCTGCAGGGCCTGTCTGAGGGGCGGCTGCGGGGCGAGCGCCGCGGCTTTGGCTAGGCGGCCGGCCCGGGGACTGGCGGCCCACGGGGCGCACCGCAGCGCCCGGGCGGGATGCGCCCGAGGGGGCTCGGGCCGGATCTGGGAGCGGGCGGGCGGGACTCGGCCTCGCCCGCCCAGGGTCGGGCTCAGGAGTGGCCCCAAGGCGCGAGACCGCCAGGCGGGGAACGAGGGGCGGTGACCGCCAGCGCCGGAGGACGCCCGGGCTGAGGGGCGCGGACCCGCAGCCCGGAGACTGGGGGTGGGGGTCGGCGCCACCTCAGAGGAAGGGCGCCGCACGCCCGAGGACCGGACCGCGGCGGTTTGGCGAGGCTCCCGGCGCTGACCCGGGCCTCGCCCCGGCGGCCGTTGCCCCTCGTGGCGGAGGCCGCTCCACCGCTCACCTTTCCGCTCCATGGCGAGACCGGTAACCGCCAGGCGCCTGCGCACTGGAGTGGCGGCGAATCGGGCTCCCGCCGCGGCCCAAAACCGAGCCCTCGTTCGCCCCGCCCCAATCCCCGCCTCTCCCCGCCCCACGGCGCCGCGCGCCTGCGCGTTAGCCACGGAGCCTACCACCTGCTCTCGATGAGGGTGCTGCTGGGGGCGGGAGGGGGCGGGAGCGGGTGGAGGAGAAGGAGGAACCGGGAGGGCAGGTGCTAAATGGTGTTTTGAGATCCAAGCTTGGAAACCTGGCTTGGTTAGTCTTGTTCTATTTACCGAGACTTAACCCTTAGAAAAAGACACAGAACGCATCCTTTAGGGCTGCCTGCTTGCTGAGTCAGAGCAGTCAAYCGAGATCTTCCTCAGTTTTCTAGCCTGTGAAATGGATTAATCAGGCATGTCCCAGTTCCTTCCCTGAGCTAATGTGAGCCCCAGTTAAGACACTACTTAAGGAAATGGAAAAAAGAAATTACATGGAAGAAAGAAAAGGAAGTGGGAGCAACCTGAGACTGGAACCTGTTACCTTATCATTTAAAAAGTATTTAAAAGTGAATTTTTTAAATTACAAGTTTAAGTGAAAGTTGTAAAAGAAGAAGGGAAGGGAGAATAAAAACGCTTATTTTCTCATTTTACCGCATTATTGTCTTTTTCAGTACATGATAAAGTTTTATTTATAGGATGTTTTTATACTTTTCTAAACGCATTATCTCTTTTTATATTTAAGATAACAAAGGCAAGATGGTTAGAACCTACATTACACAAAAAATTAAAACTTGGGTGCTGGGGATGTGGCTCAAGCGGTAGCGCGCTCGCCTGGCATGCATGCGGCCCAGGTTCGATCCTCAGCACCACATACAAACAGAGAAGTTCTGTCCGCCAAGAACTAAAAAAATAAATATTAAAAAATTCTCTCTCTCTCTCTCTTAAAAAAAAAAAAAAAAAAACTTAGAATATCTATGCAGAATCTTGTCCCTACCCAATGATTCCATCATCAAACCCTTACTGTAAAGCAGTATCTGCAAAGTGTTTCTGAAAAGGACTATAGTCGACATTGAGGCTTTCTGGATCTTAATCTTTCTCCACTCATCAGCTCTGCCACTGGAACTTAAAAGCAGTCATAGAAAATATGGGGTATCTGGGTTCCTACAGAGATTCTTTATGGAAACTGAGAGTGAATTTCATGAACTTTTCGAACATTATGAAATACTTTCCTTTTGATCTTTTGTCAAGCATTTCAACCATTCTTAGTTCAGGCCTTGGTTTGCCAACCCCTGCAGTAAAGTGCATGTTTATTTAAAGACAGAGATGTGTTATGAGAAATGCACCATGAGACAATTTTGTCCTGGGAAAATCAGAGAGTTCTCACACAAACTAAAGGGGCTACAAAATCACTAGGTGGTATAATCTATGGGAATACCCTTATTATGCAGTCTGGTGTTAACTGAAATCTTATGATGTGTCACATGATTGTACTACAAGTGGACAAGGTGGAAGCTCTTGGCTTTGTAAGAAGTGGGACCTCAGCAGAGAAGACAAACAAGTAATCAATTGACTAAGAAAGGAAGATAGGAGTGTAATAGTAAAGTACAAGTCAAGGATGGTAAATAACTTAAGTCCAGTAAGGGAGGTGGCAATTTTTGAGCTGAGTCTTGGGCAATGTGTAGGATTTCCATAGGTGGGGAAGGAGATGTCAGGCATTCCCGAATGACAAAATCAATTGAGCAAAAAGGTAAAGACATGGAAACTTGGGTGGGGGCTGGGACCTGTAATGATTGAAGGGATGAAATAGGTGAGACTGGAAAGGTAGGTTTGCCAAATTTGAAATTTAGATAATTAATATCTGTTGCATGAAACATGAATGATAATATTTCTAGGCATATTGTGAAACAGGACAGCCTCTTTTGGCCAAGGCAGACTGTAGTCCAGTCTCTTTTCTAAGTTAAATTTGAGAACAGAAGGAGAGCTGGGGCAGAAAAGGAAACCCTGGAGTCTGAGGATTTTTCTAGTTTAGGAACACCCTAGATGGTTTAATGAAGATAGAGAAGGGCTGGTGGCTAGGGAAAATTCCAGAATTAGAAAAGAACTGTCCACCAGAAAGCAAACTTGGAAGGTTTGGGAGCTTGGGTACATTTTCCTTGATGTATCTATCCTCAATATCTACACAGTGTTGAGTGCTTAGTAGATGCTCAAATATTTGTCTAATAAAAGAATAAATAATCTGCAGTTTATAAGAAACATCAGGAAAAGAGAGAGAAAATACTGGGACAATACTGGGCTAAAATCCAMATGGTTATTGCAGATCCATCAAAAAGGGATGTGTTCGCCTCACCACCATTTAGTCAGACCTCTTCTCACTGATTTTTGCTTTCTTTGGATTAAGTTCTCTGAATTGACCATTTCTCTTTTTTCCAATTTTCTCACTGTGCTTCAGTTACCCACACTTCTTTTAAGATCTCTAGAAATGTTAGGTTTTCTCCCCGATTCTAAAGCCATCTTTTTCCCCCTATTTCTTGCTTTAAAATTACCTTTTTTATGTATTTTACCCTTGCAAAAATTAGTGTGTGTGTGTGTATAGTCCTGGGGTTTGAACCCAAGGGTGTTCTACCACTGAGCTACACCCCGTCCAACATTCCTTGCTTTGGATTATCACAAACTGTTATACTGTCCAAAATTTTTATCTGAATTAAATCCGAAGTAGTACCTCCCCTTTTGGCTTCTCCTCCATCCTGCAGATGAAATAAACAACAGGAGAAACTGAAAACATATCGCTTTATTTTGAATAAGATTCCCAGTAGCTGTCTACATAATTGGGAAACCCCAGTGGAACTTTGTCTTGCCTTTGTGATAGTTTTGTGAAGTATGTTGGGAAAATATAACATATTCTAGGTCTGAGTATCAGGAAACATGGCAATCCCATATTTAATGAAGGGATGGAGGTGTGGATAGGGTTAAGGTAAACCAACAAGGGTTGCAGAGGCATCCAGGGACAAGCAACAGTGGGAGTTTTTTACCACTCCTAGACCTGAAGGGACAGGGGAAGGAGACTTTATCAGAACTTAGTGAGAGCTTGTATTCCTTTGCTAGGGCTGCCACACCAAAGTACCACCAACTGGGTGGCTAMAGCAATAGAAATGTATTGTCTCACACTGTGGAGGCTAGCAGTCTGAAAGCAAGGTGTTGACAGGATTGTCTCCCTTGGAGAATTGTGAAAGTGAACCTTCTCAGTTTTTTTTTTGCCTGGTAGATGGCCATCATCTTCTTGTGTCTCTGCACATTGTTTTACTTGTGTGCATATCTCTCCTTGTGTCTGCATTCCTTCTTAGAAGAACACTGGTCATCCTGGAATGTTGTTCATCTTAATAACCTCACTTTAACTCTATTACCTCTGTAAAGATTCTGTCTCCAGGAGGCTGAGGCAGGAGGATCTCGAGTTCAAAGCCAGCCTCAGCAACTTAGCGAGGGCCTAAGCAACTCATGGAGACCCTATCTCTAAAATATATATATGGGCTAGGAACGTGGCTCAGTGGTTAAGTGCTTCTGAATTCAATCCCTGGAAAAGATTCTGTCTCCAACTAAGGACATTCAGAGGTATACTAAGGACTYCAACTTACCTTTTTTTTTGTTTTGGGGGGGGGGTGGACGACACACTGTTCAACACATAATAAAGCTGTAGCAGCAAGAAAGGGCTGCCCAACAAATAAGCCAAGCAGGGCCAAAGCAAGAGAAATAAATACCCAATTTCTTCTCTCATCTTCTCAGTCTCCTGCTGACAAAACCCACTGGCAGTTGAAAGGCAATCCAGCCTCCCCAGGGCACTGGAGGGTGGAGGAGGGCGGAGAGTGGATCTGGAGGGCTAAATGGAGAATATCCAGCATAGCCTGTCAGGGCAGTGGATACACCCAAAGCAGCTAGCATATTCCAAGCAGGTAAGTCTACCTCTTGAGCCCCTGATCCCTAGAGAGAGTTGAGAACTGAAGCTGCTCTGGGATAACCCCCTTTCTGGCTTCAGTCTATAAAAAGTTTCGGCTTCAAAGGAAATTGTGCTTGAGTGAAGGGTTGGAGGAGGAGGTGGAAGAGAGAAAAGAATGAAAGCCTGGGCTTGCGGGAGTGGAAATAGAGGCAGTGAGTAGGTTGCAGGAAATGTGGAAAAAGAGGAAGTTATAGAGATGGGTGATCCCTGAGATAGACTGTGTCCTTGCATTGCTCCCTGGAGTGCTCTGCTGAGGCTGAAAAGGTTTGCAAAGTAACTTGAGCTGATTTCACCAAGCCTCTTCCAGCCTCTTTGTTTTCTTTGTTGGGAAGAACACCTGCCCAAGAAACTTGACAATGGTAAGGATTTGTTTCTCCCAGATCCTCACTCTCAGGATATAAAGAAAACAAGCTCCAGACTAGAATCTGCTACAGGCTCATTTGGTAAACATCCATTAGTAGACAGGGCCAAGATAGCCTCCATGGCCTGTTCTGTAAGTTCTTTCTGTAAGCCCTAACTTTGTGTCTTTCTGGGTGCTGTGATCAAAGTGTGAATGAAAGGTCTACTCAAGTCCCAGAGTCAGAACCCTGTCACCAGGCGTCAGGAGCAACAGGCAATCTGCGATGGAGTCTGCCTTATACCTTGTTATGCTATTTCAAGACTGATTTATGCCAAAAGTATTATCAGAAATGGGTTTTCACTGATGAAAAGAGTTGCTTGTTATTTGTGTCATGGGTGTTAGAAAAGAGCTGTTGTTGGTGAAATCTGTGGCATCCGATTACTCTGAATTACTTTGTGATAGCCACTTTCTGATTAAAAAAAGTGTTAACCACTGGGTGTGGTGATGCTTGCTTATGACTACAGCAATTTGGGAGGTTGAGGTAAAAGGATTAGGAGTTCCAGGCCAGCCTTCACAATCTAGTGAGACCCTGTCTCAAAATTTAAAAAAATTTAAAAGACTGGGGAAGTGACTCAGTGGTAGACAGCTCCTACGGTCAATCTCCAG